GCGGAGGCGGAGGCGGGAGAGGGCGCTATGGCAGACCCGATGACTCTGAGTGGGGCGGTGGCGGCAGCGGCCGACGCATCAGGTGCGAGCTTGGGTTGATACGGGGCGGGTTGGGATGGGATTGGGATGAGTTGGGCGGGATGGCGATTTTCGGATGTGGGATTTTGGTCGGTGCATGCAGTATTCGCCGTAAAATTGTCCTATTTCGTTAAGCTGGAATATGTTTTTTCCCTCCTTTCCAAAACCTGTTTTTCTTTCTCCCTAATGCTTTGGTTTGTGTGTCGCCCCCAGCTCACTTTGTTTCGTGTACACGATTTTCCTTCGCAAAAGCCGCCCAGTGTGGTCTCCTAACCCCCGTTTCTCTTTCTGGTGTTCGTCCCCGCAGCCGCAGCCGCGGCGACCTTGCCGCCCGTCTGTTTGACGAGCATTCGACTTCAGAACGCATGGCCGTCCGTTTCCTGTCGGCATGCCACGACGAGATCCGGCGCGCACAGCACAACGATGTATTGTTGCGCAAGGACTGGCGGTTGGGTCCCCTCCGACTGGCGCTGCCCGGCAGCAGCAACGTGCCGGAGGGGTACGAGCCGGTGCAACCGTCGTACTGCTCTGTGGCGTCGTACATGAACGCGATAGATGGCGGCGCGCCCTTGGCGCTGCCTCCGTACAACTCTTCCGAGAGGGCGTCATTGTCATCGCTGCGGGAGTCGCCGGCGTTGACTGCCCCGGCGTCTTCGTCGGGGACTGTGATGGCAGCAACTGCCGTGTAAATGCCGGCCCGGAATGGGAAGGAATAGGAAGTGATACACGATAACCTAGATGGGCGATTCGGGTTTTGGCAGATGTGTGAGAACGGGGGTTGCGTTTGTAGGCAGGTGTAGAGGCTTGTAGGGGGAAGCACCCTTAGATGCGAGTGTGTATAGAAGGAGATTGCCAAGAGGTTGGCCAACCGAGGGTGCCGCTACACGGCACACGATAATGAGGACCTCCTGCGACCTCACGGGCGCGGACCCCACGAGCTTGCTGGACAGTTCTTACGTGGCTTCAGGGTCAGTAGCACCGCTCACTGATAGGAGCGCGCCGGCAGCCGCGTCGGAGCTAGCAGCGGTAGCGGTATTGGAAGTGAGGAGAAGGTCGTGTAGTATGTATGTATGTATGTACGTGTGTGGGA